TTGGCTTTTTCCTCTTTTTTCTTTTTGTACAGCCTTTATCAATGTAAAAACTTTTTCAGCATCTGAAGATCATTAAAAAATAATTGAAAATAGCAGATTTCCAGAAGTATCAGGATCCTGACTATTTTACTTACCCTAATTTTGCAACCCTTACGTTGGAAAACAATGAGGCGAGAGAGTAAGAGAAACAGACATAGAGAAATTTGAAGTTGGCAGAAAAAAGTACGAACTTTAAGCGCAAGGCCGAATTCAAACCGCTTAAAATTCATCTTGTGGTGAAAGTTCGTGCCTTTTTCTGCCAATTTAAAATTTCTCTAACTGTCTGTTTCTCTTACTCTCTCGCCTCAGTTTTCTCCAGTGTAAGAATTGCAGAACAAGGTGAAGTAGAATAACCAAAATCCTGATATTCCTGGAAGTGTATATTATCTTTGGTTACCCGATGACTCACGCAAAATAATGAGTAAATTTTTACACTGTTATGCATTGTAGGAATATGAGAGGATGAAAAAAACACTAACTTTCTTTACTTTTCTAGAATTTGACTAGGTTTGTATGCCATTACTCCGCTGTGAACACTTTGTAAACGAAAAGGATTTTTTTTCTAGGGGGAATGAGGCTAAATAAGTATGAAGAGGAAGATAACAGTGAAATAGTTTTCCTATTTTTATTTTCGCATATGTATACCAATAAATATCAGCAGAACAACAGAGAGATAAGGACACTCGATGAAATATAGAAAGTTGGAACATAACAGGATGTGACTCGCAACATTTTATAGTTGCGGGCTTACACCTCACCCAGAAAGCTAATTTTTTAATAGACTGAATGTCTGTACTTTTTTGATGACACTGCTGATTGAATTCTTTTCGCGGGGCGTGAAATACTCAAAAAAATTGTGTTTAATGGAAGAATCACGGGATGTCTTGTAATCACAGTGTAAATGGTAGGTTTTCAAAAAGTAGATTTTCAAAAAATGCTGTCAGATTAACATATTTGCTGAATTTTTCTGTGGGATCTGCTTTGGAGTCACTGCTGTTTGATGAGTTATAAGAACGTATTTAAAAAGTTTAGATGCTACAGGTTACACGTTAGTAGATGTAAAAGAGTCGCTGCAAGAAGGCGTCCTGCTAAGTGCTTTTTTGTTGCCTTATCTGTCTGTTGACTTTGCTGGAACGATTCCTGTTCTTGTTTATTAATGATTTTATAAAATGTAAAATCGACAACAAGGAGGAGTCGATAATTAACAGTTACAAAACCAAATTGTCCTGTAAGAGATCAAAAAAATAAATAAATAAAGCAAATTATAAAAAACTCGGAGTGATGACTGTAGCTTCTGAATGATACAGTGTATTTTATTCGTACTAAAACCATTTAATCAGTATTCAGCCATATACTTGGAAGGGTCTTTTATTAAATATGAAGAAATTGAGTAGCTGCTCTGGCGGCATTGACAATACATGGTTATAATGTACTCTAAAATGTATACTGCATGTTCCACAGGTGTTGATGAAACCATGAAAAATTAATATCTTATACAGTATTTATTTTTTTTAAGACTTCAAAAAAGATATAAGTATATAGTTAAATGAGAATGACCAAAAATTTTTTCATTTATAAACTAAACTGTTTATTTGTGTTAAACCTATGACTATTCCACAAAACTATAACGATTAAAAGATAGTTGAAAAAAAAAAGAAGGAACAAGCGATTAACGATAATAATATACTAAATATTTCGTTCATATGCATATTATTTATATACAAAATTCTGTTGTAACTTGAACTTACAATAAATTACCATCGTTAGTACTATTATTCGTAGGATGCTCTCCAAATCTTTTGCCATTACTTTTCCGAGAAAACAGCCGGCATCGAATTATTTTGCTTGCAAAGTCAACTAACTCCTGCCGGAGTTCATACTGACAACTTGCGTAGATTGGTAGTCTTAGTGCGCAGGAGGTTACTGCTAATAATGTTCCTACGTCAACGCTAATTGTGTAAAATAGACCAAAACTGAAAACAGAAAGTTTCAAGAAATAAAAAAAAATAAAACGTGAGAAAAACAAAAATTAAATTAATTTTTATCTTTCTTATGCTTCCTATCAACCCCCCTGCTACTGCTCACTTTGTAAGTCATAGTAGTTTTCACACCTGTTTTCTTATTCAAAAACAGTGGGTGCTCGCTGATTATGCTATTCCTAAAATCTCTACGAAATAATAGTTTTCGAACACCTAGCTCATCGTTATCAGCTCTGCGCCAAATCAACCAGTACTTCACAAAAGTGCTAATTCTTTGACTAAAGTCTGATCACACGCTGATCTACTACTATTACAGTCTTCTACAGGAAAGTTTGTTACTTGATTACGAAGCTCAACGTTAACAGCTGATCAGTGGATATCTTTACAAAATGTAATTATTTTTGAGCGATATACAAAACGGCAGAATGTGAAACTTCAGTGTAAAAATACAGAACTGTAGCATTATTTATAAGAAAAAATTGTAATTTTATATA